GCCCCCGCTAGTGTGTGACCCCTATGCTAGGTCATTTTCTATTGCAAAGTCCTAATGAATGGAGATTTTGAGAATGGAGAATCAGAGCCATAGCCTACAGACATTCCCATGCTTCTGCTCCACTGCTCTGACCCAACCACTCAACCACCAAAATTCCAACCTGTGTCAGACCACTGATTACTGTTCTCATACTGCCCCAGACCAAGGTTCTCCTAGGGCCATGCTGGGCCCCTAGTGACACAGTTCTTCCCTTTCATTCCCAGAAGACAGGGCTTTCAAGAGGGTGTAGGAGTGAGGTCAAGGGTGCAGTGCATGAAGGGGAAGCAATGAGGAGGCACACCTCATACGGTACCTACCACCAGGGAGGCCTCATCTCCAGCCCTCATCGTCCAATCTGATCCACTTGGTCAGATGTCTTCTTCACTCGTGTCATGTTCTCTAGGGAACCTATTTTTCTCTTATCTAGCGAAGATGACTTTGAAGAACCCTGGTCCATCAGACAGGACTTGATGTGTCTAAACCCTAGATGAGGACAAGGTTCATTTGACTTCTTTCCCACAAGGCTCCTGAACCTCATGCAAAATGAGATATAGACAGACATCTCTTTTTGGGGTTCCTGAACATTCTCTAAAGGATGATGATTTCAGAAACATCGTGGGACATTTAGGGGGAGGCTCACATGAGTGCACAGAGAATCTAACTCTGCGTGGTACATCACAAAGTCTTATTTCCGGCCCAGTCAAAATACCGTCACAACTGTTTGGATGAGCACTGTATTATTTAGAGAGGGAAGGCTGAACTGCTGGATCAAGAATCATCAAAAATTCTGTGACTTAAAAAAAAATACACTTTTGCCCTGGCTGGAGTGGCTCAGTTGGTTGAGCATTGTCCCATGCACCAGGAGGTTGCCGGTTCGATTCTGGTCGGGGTACATGCCCAGGTTGCAGGCCCAATCCCCAATGGGGGTGTGCAGGAGACAGCCAACGAATGTTCTCTCTCATCTATGTTTCTCTCTCCCTCTCCCTTCCTCTCTAGGAAGTCAATAAAAAAAAAATATTTCTTAAAAAAATACACTTTGGCCCTGCTGGTTTGGCTCAGTGGTTAGAGTGTCTGCCTGTAGACCAATGAGTTGCGGGGTCAATTCTGGTCAAGGGCATGTACCTCAGTTGAGGTTCGTCCCTGCCCCTAGTCAGGGTCATGCAGAAGTGGCCAGTTGATGTCTCTCTCTCGGATTGGTATTTCTCTCTCTCTCTCTCCTTCCCTCCCTCCCACTCTGTCTGATGATAAATGGAAAAATATCCTTGGATAAGGATTTAAAAAAAAAATACACACACACACACACACACACACACACACACACACACACACACTTTTGCCTCTTAAGTTCCACACCATACTTTTCAGGCAGCTATGCAACTCAGCTCCACAGGGTCATTCAGGAATCCAGGCTGATGGTGGCACTTCTATCTTCAGAGGATAACTTCCGGGGCCATTCTAGTCATCACCATTCCATCCAGTGGAAAACAGGAAAAAGGTGTGGAGTAGGTAGGCAATGTTTCAGAAGTCAGCCCTGTAAGTGGCCACATCTTTCCCCTTACAATTCAATGATGAGAACCTGGTCACATGGCCACACCTAACTACAAAGGAGACTGGAAAACGTGGTCCCTGGCACAGCCACTGCAGACCAGTATCATTATTTTACTCTAGAACAAGGACAGCATATTATAGCCCAGGGGTCAACTCCTCAAGCCCCCTGGTTTTGTAAACAAAGATTTACTGGAGCACAGCCACACCCACTCATTTTCATACTGTCTACGGTGACTTTACCTGCTACTAAGGTAGAGTTGAACAGTCATGACAGAGCCCTTAAGGCCTGCAAAGCCTAAAACATTTACTATTTGGCCCTTTATAGAAAATATCTGCTATCCCCTTTAATAGGAAAAACAAAAAACAAAAAAACAAGAATGGATTTGGTGGGACAACTAGCAGTCTACACTTTCAAAATATATCTCAGAAATTGTTATAAAGACACAGGACAAAAATATTCCTTGAAGCATTTCACGCCATACCAGAAGACTAAAAACAACTTGTAAAGGACTGTTAAATGATGAACTATGCATACCACAGAATACATGTAACCTTTACAAAGAATGAGGAAGTTCAACATGTACTGATTAGAAAAATACCCAAATATATCAACTTTAAAAAGTAAAATGCAGGAGAGCTGTTTAGAATGTTACCTTTGTGGGGAGAGAAAAACAACAGAATTTAATGCATAATACAAATATGCTTACATGGGCATAAAAAACTCCTGAGAGGACCTAGATGAAACTCAAAACAGAAGCTATTTCTGGGTAGGGAAGTCAGAAAATGAAGGACAGAGTGGAGGGAAGTTTACTTTTCACCATATACCCTTTTATACATTTTGAATTTGTACACTGTGCATGTACTATCTATTTTTTAAGTAATAAATTTAAAATTAAACTGAGAAAAACCACATTTACAAAAGAATTGGTCATTATTTCCAATGCCAATCAATTCCTCTTCTGAAAGACATAATCTTTCTTAAAAGGCATGGCAATACCTTCCATCAGGAATAGTCAGTCCTGCGGACCTGGGAATCACTTTATGTTACTGTATTTGCATCCCTGCTCCACGGTATGGCAGATTCTCAGAGATAGCTCATTTCTCTTATTTTCATAGTCAACTTACAAGTTCTAGTTTAGCCCCCTGTTTTTCTTGAAAGTTCCTCTTTCCAGACAGTATTTATTCAGTTCTCTCACACATGTTGAATAGAAAGAGAAGCAAATCTGACCTCAGAGAAAAATAAAGTACAGAAAGACAAAAGTAACACTTCCTAAGCCTGGTAAAAATAAACAACTCTGAAGAAAAATCTTGTAAGGGGACCAACCCGCCTTTCGGTTCAAACTGACAGTGATCCATTGCACACGGGCTGAAGAGCAAAAGAAATCAGTGGTTGACATAACTGGTAGGTCTGCAAGCTGGAGCTGGCTTGAAACACAGAGACATCCGGGCCCTCAGAAATGTCCCAGGAGCTGTGGTCCTCTCAGCGCTGCGGGGTCTCTCTGCAGGCAGGCCCTTGTCCTGTGGCAGCAAGATGCCCACAGATCCCACACTCCCAGGCCCCTAGCTTAGCAATCCGGACAGAGAAAGAATGTCTCTCTCTGAACTCAACACAGCAAATCCAGAGGACACTGTAACGGGTCCTTCTTAGACCTGGCCAGGGCTGGCGTCCAAGCCTGGCCCAGCTTAGGCTATATGCCTTTACCTGTGGGCCACCAGGACTGTATGAAATGTGCAAACAGGGGTTCCCCAAAGAGCACTGTAGGAGTGCTAGGCAGAAAAAACAATAAATGTTCTCTATTGCTTCTAACAAGTCAAGACTACGGCCCCTGGATATTTAACAGGCTTAAAGCAATAAACCTTGCTCCCTACCCTGGTGAGAAGACGGGGTTTTTCAATTTCAAGTCAAGGTGGCTGAGCCAATCAAACTGACACACACACACTGTCTGATTTGCCTGCACTAGCCATAATTTTGAATACCAGATAGAAAACCTGCTTATACTTTAGCAAAACAGAAAACCTAAAAATGCAATTTGTAAATCAGACTACTGTCCTTTGGCTCCTCTACAACATTTCACTCAGGACAAAGTATTTCCATGGTGCAGCCTGCCAAAATGTGTCTTCTCCATTTTAGCCACATACTTTTTCAATCACCATCTGAAGGTCAACACAATATCCAAGTTTGAGGTTTATATTTAGCTCTAAATTATAATATAACTTAATAGACTATATTTGTATTCCTCTTACAAAAATTCATTCACTTATCTTCCAAGTCAGCTGAACCAAATGGAGACATTTGGATACATGCTACTTCCTTGGTTGATCCTTGAATAAATGACTTCAGTTGTCCCTCCACAGCACAAGACAGGAAAGTTATATTAAAGTTTCGTAATAAGCAGAAAACTCATCTAAGACTAAAAGCCTAGACATCCTAGCTATAAGAAATTGCTCTTTTTTAAAAAAAAATTTTTTTTGCTTTATTGATTTTAGAGAGAGAAGAAGTAAGAGGGAAAGTGAGATAGAAATATCAATAAGAGAGAACATAGATTGGCCACCTCCTACATGCTCCCCACTGCGGATCGGGTCCACAACCTGGGCATGTGTCCTGACCAGGAATGGACCTGGCGACCTCTTGGTGCATGGGTGGATGCTCAACCGTTGATGCTGAGCCACACTGGCAGGACAGAAATTGCTCATTTTTTACAGTAGAATCATGAAGACATGAATGAGAACTACTGCTATATGCTAGTTTAATGCCAAACATCTTTTATTTGGAATTATAAGAGTAAAGCCAAATTTTCAACACATCTTCAAGGAGAAAGACTGATAAATGTATTTTAAAGCAATGATTGAGATATTCTTAGGTATCCTCATCAAAAGTGGCACAAAATTTTCAAAACAAAATTAATTTTTATTTATTTTATTTTTTTAAATCCTCACCCAAGGATATTTTTCCATTTATCTTCAGATAGAGTGGGAGGGGGAGAGAGAGAGGGAGAGAAACATCGATGTGAGAGAGACACATTGATTAGTTGCCTCCTGCACCACCCCTGGAGCCCAGGGACCAAACCACAACTGGGGAACATGCCCTTGACCAGAATCATATCTGTGACTCATTGGTCTGCAGGCTCCAACCGTTAAGCCAAACAGGCCAGGGCAAACAAAACAAAATTAATTTTAAATAAATTTTATTTAAAAAACAAAAAACAGCCCTGGACAGTTTTGCTCAGTGGTTAAAGCGTTGGCCCACAGACCAATGAGTGGCGGGTTCAATTCCAGTCAAGGGCATGTACCTCAGTTGTAATTCGTCCCCGGCCCTGGCTGGGGTCGTGCGGGAGGCAGCCACTTGATGTGTCCCTTTCATGTAGATGTTTCTCTCTCTCTCTTCTCTCTCCCTTCCACTCTATCTGAACAAAAGTGGAAAAATGTCCTGGGGTGAGGATAAAAAAAAACATACACAAATAGGCCAAATAACACTCAAGCCGAAGAGGGCTGCAATCTTTAAAGAATTTAATAGTCCAAAAAGACTAATACTTCTTGCTGATTCAGCACACATTATCAGCCCTCTTCAGGCAGCAACACCAACACTAGCAAACATCTCATGGCCCCCTTTTATGGGCACTGGATTCACTGAGCAATGAGCCACAGCCCTGCCCTCTAGGAGCTTACAGTGTAACTGGAGAAAAACAAAACATCCAGAACAGACACAAAGTCCACACGTCTATCACAACAAAAGCAATTACTGGCATAAGTCATCACATGTTTTAACAAATGAGCCACAGGACTATCTTGGCAAATATATACTACATCAAGTTCCAACCTGACATCAAAAAAACAAACAAAGTTTTTATTTTTTGTTCAATCATGTTTCAAAAGAATTGAATTAAAAGAGGAAAACACAATTCCAAACCAAATGTACCATGAAGTTTACTGTTCATGTCCCAGCATTCCTCCAGGGTTCTACATCCAGAAGTCAAGTTCAGTAGTTTTGACTGCCAAAACGATGTACAAATTCAGACAGGGAGTAAACAGCTCCCCACCCTACCTCAGGATCCATACTGATAAAATCATTCAGGTTCATTTTGGAATCTAAAAAAAGATGCATGAAAGAAATATCCACTGAAAGCACAATTTTGATTTAACAGCAATAAAACCACCCAGAAGTAGGGGGAAGTATTCACACGGATAAGGGTTTAATATCGCTGCTATTGTATTCTTGTTGCACATGTGTAACCTTGATCTAATCATGACAAAATATCATACAAACCCAAACTGAGGGATACTTTACAAAATAACTGACCAGTGCTCCTCAAAAGTTTATAAGTTGTAAAAAAAAGAACTTGTCACAGACTGAAGGAGACCAAGGAGACATGACAACTAAACGTAATACCCTGGGTCAGAAAAAAAAAAAAAAAATTAGTGGAAAAACGTGCAAAATTTAAGTCAAGTCTAATAGTTAATAGTATTATGTCAATATTTTTGTGTTAATTGTATAATTTTCTTGGTTTGAATAATTACACTATGGTTTACTCAGAAAATCAGAATCTGAGTAAAGTGTATATAGGAATTTTGTCTGATTTTTGCAAATTCTCTAGAAATCTAAAATTATTTGAAGCTGAAAGTGAAATTTGTTTTTTTCTTCTTTTTTTTGTTTTTTTTTTTAACTTCAAGTTGAAAGTGAAATTTAAAAATGCATGAATAGCTCGACCAGTGTGGCTCAGTGGCCTGAGCACGTCCCATGGACTGAGAAGTCCCGGTTCGATTCCTAGTCAGGGTACATGCTAGGTTTCAAGTTCGATCCCCAGTAGGGGGCGTGCAGGAGGCAGCTGATTGATGTTGATGTTTCTCTCTCATCGATGTTTCTACCTCTCTCTCCCTCTACCTTCCTCTCTGTCTAAAATCAATTAAAAACATGTTTGTTTGTTTTTTAAATGCATGAATAACCAAACTGCCAACTTACAGGAAATTCAGAGGACAAAAAAGAGATACAATTAGGAAAATCCAGATGGTTTCTCCCAGACTCAGTTTCTTCAACAAATAAATTACAAGAAAACAAAAAAGAGAGTTGGAAAAGGAACCTATATATTTAAAAACACCATCCCTACAACAACAACAGCTAGATAATCAGCAGAAGCAGAAGTTTTGTTGAAGTCATCAGAGAGCTGGGGATGCAGGATGTCCAAGTTACCTGAAATAAAGGAAAGACAGGAACCTCCGAGGAGAGATGGGGCACAGGCTCTCGTCTACCTGGGACAGATGCCACACTCCATATAAATCAGTAAGTAGGTCAGCTAAAATTTTTAATGAATTGTTAATGGAAACCTCAATTTCTGAAATAGAATGGTATTTGTTTTCTAGGACTTTTAAATATAATTCAATAAAAAATGATTACTATCTTCAGGTATTCTTACTTAAAAAGATCAATGTATAAAAACAAAATGAAAATTTTTAAATTGTTAAAAGATCAATGTGTGTGCAACAAATAAGATTTTACCCATAATCTCCCATGAGCCCTCTAGAATTTGTTTACATAACACCAGTCCTCGAGCTCAGCTCCAATTAGCCAGTGTTACTATAATATCCCTGACAGCAAGAAGGTGAGAGGTATATGTGGACCAGAGGCAGCAAAGGGCTTAGAAAGAGAAGACAACAAATTAGTGCATTCTATATTCAGCCCAAGACTTGGGAAATGTCCTTAAAAACTAAGTCATTAGTAGCTAGTGTTGGAACTAAGTCCTTATGGCAAGACTATATATAATACTGTAAATCTCAGCTTCCATCTTATCAGGAAAAGAGTTCCTTTCTTTAAAATACATTAAATACAGCCCGGTCAGTGTGGCTCAGTGTTTGAGCATCAATCCATGCACTAAGAGGTCATCAGTTTGATTCCTGGTCAGAGCATATGCCCAGGTTGTGGGCCAAATCCCCAGTGGGAGGCATGCAAGAGGTGGTCAACCGATGTTCCCTCTCATCGCTATTTCTATCTGTCTCACCCTCTCCCTTCCTCTCTCTAAAATCAATAAAGAAAAAAACATTTTTATAATTTTTTAAAATATATATATATATATATATATATATAAAATGCTAACAGGCAAAGAGTGGTCCTGCAGACACATGTCCACCAAAATCATTAAATGTATAGGCTTTCACAATGCACAATGTATTGAATATACTAAATTTTAAGTCGTAAGAGTCAATCCCGTAACTAAATGTAAGGAATCAAGTAAAGTTTATATTAAAATATCTAAAACACGCATTAATTTAAGGTTTGATACTTCCTTGAGCCTTTTTTTAACTTTTTAAAAAAATAAAACAAAACTAATTAGCTAAAAGTGATTCCCACTTATCTTATCATTGGATATATTCCTGTAATAAATACAAGGCTTGACGTAATCAATTTACTACATAAGAGAACATTATAATGTGGTTAAATTATTGCATGAGAAACCAATGTGTTCACCCCACACTGCAGAGCAGATTCCTTTTAGTTTCAATCTCAGGTTCAGGAAGCCCCTAATGAACTAATGACATATGCAACAAAAAAAGACAACCCCCCACCACTGCCCCATAAAAATCCCTCCTCAAGCACAGTGTGCTGACCCTGCTACTTTCTAGCCATGCACCTTAGGCAAAATGCTCCAGCTTCCTGCACTGCAGTTTACGCATCTGTCCAATGTTGAAAATAAAGTGTGACTCGCTGAGTTGTAGTGAAAAGTAAATTAAATTAGTATGTAAAGGGGCTGGCACAAAACCTGACACAAAACAGCACTTATTACAGGTTAGCAGTCATCAAGCCCAAAGGAATGACTCAAAGAGTATCAGGGCTGATGAGGTGGTGTTTACTGAACGTCTACTATGCAGAAGGCTCTGAGTTAGTGCTCACATCTATGAGATGAGAAGCTACCAAGACACGTTGTCCCAGACCACACCACCTACAGCAGGTTGTCCAAGACTAAAAGGTAGACCCGTGAAGCCTTCTAACCACGGAGCTGACCCTAAGCTAACACTGAGCCCAGGAAGCAGGCTAGTGGACCAAAAAGCAATTCCAATATACATTTTTTAAATTATGAGAGCTTTTCAGAGAGCCTCAAAAATAAGAGTTTGAATCCTCTTTTAGTTCACTCCCTTCAGATATGCCAAATATATTCTTACCTTCTTCCTTGCTGAACTCTGAATACTTCTGCCCCATTTTTCTGGCTGCTGCACAGCTTACAGAGCACTTTCGCACTTACACACACACAGCATCAGCCATGGGATGGGATGATCTCACCAATAAATGACAATGCTGTAAATTACTTTCAACCATAAATAATGTTTCAACTCATGTGAATGCCAAATAATAATAATAAGGTGAAGAGCCCTTCATCTACTCAAACCTCAAGAAATTATGAACTGGACTGATGCCTAAAAGCACATAAATGAGATGAGTGGTACAATAAAACCTGCTAGCTCGCACCTCCTCCTAATGCAGACTTTATTCTAGTGCCAGGGAAATGACATTTCGTACATCACGAGGATGCACTGGTAATTTTTTCACAACATGAAACCCTACCACAGCAAGGTGCTACAAGTCCCACTGTTAAATGACACAAACACGCAGCTCTCCTAAAGACCGATGTCCCAGCAGCCAGTACATCCAATACTCTAGCAAGTGTTGCAGTCTCTCCTTAACAACTTTCCTCTCCCATGACTTCTTATGCTTTCCGGTCCTGCTCCTTGTGCCTCAATTTCTGAATGTAATAAATACACAGAACTGCCCTGGCTGGTTTGGCTCAGTGGTTGGAGCATCGGCCTGCAGACCAGAGAGCCCCGGGTTCGGTTTCTGCTAGGAGCACGTATCAAAAAACACAAAATAATAAAATAAAATAAATAAATAAATACATAGAACTACAGTTCCTCTTACCTCCTTACCACTCAGGGGTTTGCACAAAGAACAACGCAATCTTTGCCCTGTTAAGAAAAAGTGCTGATCTGCACAGGGACTGGAAACCCCTCTAGGGAAGCATCTTTGGCTCACCTCCAGTTTGAATGCAGGGATATGATGGAGGAGGCTCTCTCCAGTTCCCACTGGAATCTTTCATGTGAGATCGGTCAGAAGCAAAGTTCTTCAAATAAGAATCTGCACGGATAACTCTAAATTTCCTGCAGGTAAATAGGCACTCGTTTATCTCAGGGAGGTATCACAGTTGAAATTCTAACTTAATTTCTACACAGACTCACTTTCTGTGACATGCACAAAACTATGCAGGCATTTTTGTACTATTTGTGATAGGCAAATATGTGTGCAGTTTATTATTACCTATTAAGGAAGCCATGAGAAATGATCAGATGAACTGTAGAACTACAAAAGCATGAAATATATCCTGCTGCTATTATTTACTCAATTGTGAACCAAGGGCAAAAGGCATTATTTTCAGGTGCTGCCATGACAGCCGTCTCAACTTTGTCATCATAAGGTATCCCATTCCCATACCACACACACAAAAAAGCAAGAGTATGAGAGAAATCCTTAAAACTACTGGAGATCTCATCACACAAATTTTTAAAAGACTGCCAACCTTTTATACAATGAACAACCTTTAAAACTTGAAAACAGCCCTGGCCGGTTTGGCTCAGCGGTTGGAGCGTCGGCCTGCGGTCCGGAGAGACCCGGGTTCGGTTCCCGCTAAGGGCACGTACCTCGGTTGCAGTTTGTCCCCGGCCCTGGTTGGTCGTGCGGGTGGCAGCCACTCGATGTGTTCCTTTCACATCGATGTTTCCCTCTCTCTCTCTTCCTCTCTCTCCCTCCCACTCTGTCTGTACAAAAAATGGAAAAATGTCCTCGGATGAGGATAAAAAAAAAAAAAAACTTGAAAACAGCCCTGGCCAGTTTGGCTCAGCGGTTAGAGCGTTGGCCTGCGGTCCAGAGTCCCGGGTTCGGTTCCCGCTAAGGGCACGTACCTCGGTTGCAGTTTGTCCCCGGCCCTGGTTGGGTTGTGCGGGAGGCAGCCACTCGATGTGTCCCTTTCACGTCGATGTTTCTCTCTCTCTCCCTCCCACTTTACCTGAACAAAAATGTAAAAATGACCTGGATGAGGATTAAAAAACAAAACAAAACTTGAAAACATTTTGAATCTTCTGCGTAGCACATCATTCTCAAATATCAACTCAATGGTGATGCCAAGGAAAGTTATCTTTACAAAACAAATGCAAAATCAAACAAAACAGCTCTATATAATTGTCAAGGTCTCACTTCAGAAAGCAGGAAAGCTCCTCCTGAATGTCCTCACCTTCTAAACTGTGGATGGATGTCCTCATCAGACTTAAAGGCGTCTTCCACATAAGCGTCAAAGGGACAGGGAAATGGCAGGACAGTGTCGAGATCATAAATGAAGCTCTGTCCTCCACTTGAAACATGAAGCAAGACAACATGGTAATCCTAGAAGTAAAAGTTGCTGAAGTTAATCAAGTTATTTATCATGGTGAATTCCAAGGCTATATGATATACAATGAGTATACAGCATCAAAAATAGATACAAGATAAATACAGCTCTCTTTATGATTGGAAAATAAAATAAATACAAAATCCTGAAAACAGACCAAATGTGTGTGTGTGTGTGTGTGTAATTTCTGCAGCACTGTTTATAATAGTGGAAATTCAGAAACAACCAAAGAGGGGTATGGTTAATAAACCATGATGCAGCCATATGATGGAATACTATGCAGCTGTTAAAAAGAATTTGGGATTGTGATGAGGCAGAGCGGGGAAGATGGCTAAAGCCTAAAGAAGTCCTGTCTGCTTGCTCCAAACATAGGACTAGACCTGAGGCTAAACTGTAGAGGATTTACCTTGAAAAACCATCTGAAAATAGCTGACTGGAAATACTGTGAGCAAGGAGGTCAAGGAGAGGAGGAGATGGAGAAGCAGGTGAGCGAACTCACGCAGCTCTGTACCACAGCACAGCTTGGAAGACAGAGGGAAGGTGAAGCAGTGCAGCTCCAGCTCCCTGGGAAAGGGGGGATTCAGCACCACATAGAGATCCCCAAGGGAGAGCAACAGAGAAGGGAGGGGGAACACACACTGTGCCTGGGGAAAGAGCTCTGTTCCTCTCCACCTCAAGTGAGGGGGTGCCCCTCCCCCTACCCACGGAATGGCTCTCGGAGCAGAAGATTGGCACCCCAGTGGCAGTGCCTGGTGCGCTGGGAAATCAGACATCAGAATAGGAGGGAGCCTAAGTAGAACCCCTACCCTGCGGAACAGCATAGGGAGTAGGGCAGGAAATCAGTGGCAGAGACTGATGTGTTGGGGATTCGAACATCTGACCAGGTGGGAGCCTGGGTAGTAGCCCCGAGCAGCGCAAGCTGGCCTTGCTGAAAAATTAAAGAGCTATGCTGGGCATTTTTTTTTTTCTTTCTTTCTTTTCATTACCCTGTTTTGTTTTGTTTTTTTCTATTCTCACCTGCTTGGGGTGAGGCACCAGCAACCCAAGGAGAACTGAGGCATTGGAAGGAAAAGAGACTGCCTGCCTTTCCTGCAAACTTTAGTCATCATCATCAACACAAATCTGAGTAAACTACCTTGACTGGACCTGATACCCCGCAAAGCCCACTGGGGAAAGGAAAAGCAGCCCAGAACAAATACATACACGTGGCTAGCCCTAAAGGTGACTCAGCCTCTGGGCTAGTGAAGCCCAGCACATAGGGCTACCCGGGACCATGCCCTGAAGGGCTCCAGCCAGGATGCCAAGGACCAGGCAGGCACAGTGATTCACAATGGCCTATACCAGAGAACTGCCCAAGAGGACAGGGATCCACATCCAAGGGGCCAGATCCCACTACAGCGGAGAAAAACCCAGCGAGCTCCATAAAGGGTACATCCAAGGTATTTTTTTCTGTTATTGTTGTGGTGGTGATTTTGATATGTGGGTTTTTTGTTGTTGTTGTTATTAATCCAATTGTTTTTTCTCCTTTTTTCATTTTCCATTTTCTACTTTCCTATTCTATATTTTGTCCAAGATAGCATTACTACCTTCTAAAATTATTACTTCAGTTATTATTTTCTACCTTTTATTTTTCATACTTACCCTATTTCTGGTCTCTGCCTTCTTTGCTTTCATATTCTTATTTTTGTTTCTTCCTCCCTTCTCCTAACACTTTTGGTCCCATGCTTTCTAGTATTCTATTTGTGTACATGTGTGTGTGTGTTTTCTGGTTGTTTGCTTGTCTTTTAAGCTTTTCATTGAAGCGGATGCTTCTACCACTGTAGATGCTGATATTTGTTAAAGGTGCCCTTTGGTTTGGTCTGCTATTGCCTTGTCTTCTTTACTTTCATATATCCTTTTATTCCACCACCCCTTTTAATTCGTTCCATCTCATGCCTTCTAGTATTGTTCATTGCGTGGGTGTGGGTGGGAGCATGTGGGTTTTCAGTTTGTCTTTTAATCCTATTGCTGAGCCCGGGGCTTGTATCATTGTTCAAGCTGATGTGTTTTTTTTTTTCAGGTTTTTTATTTAGTCTGGTTGTGCATTGCCTTCTTTACTTTTATTTTTTTCTTTCTCCCTCTTCTAATTCTTTTGCTCTTGCACCTCCTATTGTTCTTCGTGTGGGTGTGAGTATGTATGTCTGTCTTTTAATCTTTTTGTTGAAGTGGTCGCTTCTATTATTATTGAGACAGATATTCTGGGGGGTTCTTTATGCTTTGGTCTGATTGCTTTATTTTGTTCTGTCAACACCTCTATAACAGCTGGCATGACAGGGTCAACAGGGCCAGGGTTGAGATTCATAGTTAACAACCAAGGACTGAGCCCACCCACAAACAGGTAACAGCAATCAAAACCCAAATTCAACAGGAGAGCCCACATAACCTACACAAGGGTCTACCCTAGAGCACCCAGCACAGAAAATAAAGAAGACAACTCCAGTGGGTCCTACAAGAAGGCCAACACATCAAAACTGGGAGCCATAGCAGTCTTATCTGATACACACCGACCTGCCTAAGTGGCCCAACATGCCTCACCTGGACCCCAACTACCAGACTAACAAAATGGTGACACAAAAAAACAACCCCCAAATGAAAGAAAAGGAGGAATCACTAAAAAGGAACTACATAAGATGGAGGCAAGCAATTTGTCAGATAAAGAATTCAAAGCAAAGGTTTTAAGGGTTCTCAAACAACTTAGTAAGAATTGCAAGCAACTTAATGAGAACTACACCAGCATAATGAAAGAGGTAGAAGCTGTGAATAAAGATCAAGTGGAAATGAAGAATGACATAGTTGATATTAAAAATACCTTGGAAGTATTCAATAGCAGGTTAGAAGTTGAAGACCGAATCAGTGAGTTTGAAGATATGGCAGGAAAAAAACACCCAAATAGAGCAGCAAATGAATTAAAAAACAGTTTACAGGGGCTTTGGGACAATATAAAATGTAACAACATTCGCATAATAAGGGTACCAGAAGGAGAAGAATATATGTACCCATATGTTGATAGCAGCACTATTTACAATTGCTAAGATCTGGAAACAGCGCAAGTATCCTTCAATAAATGAGTGGATAAAAAAAGTTGTAGTACATACACACAATGGAAACTATGCAGCTGTAAGGAAGAAAAATCTCTTACCCGTTGAGATGACATGGAGAGACCTGGAGAATATTATGCTAAGTGAAATAAGCCAATCAGAGAAAGACAAATATCACTTGATCTCACTTATTTGTGGAATATAATGAACATAATAGACCCAGAAACGTAGAAGTAGGGTACAGACTGACAAACCTCAGAAGAGGGGGACGGGGGTAGGGAAGAGACAAACCAAATAATTTATTTGCATGTATGCGTAACCAATGAACATAGACAACAATGCTGGAAGGGTGTCTGGGGGAGGGGTAGGGAAGAAGATGTCAATGGGGGGAAAAGGAGAAACATCTGTAACAAAAGTAAATTAATAAAATAATTTGGTAAATGTATGTGGAAAACAGGAAAATGTCTATGTTAAATAGCTGGATGGAAGAAGCAAATTGCAGAATTATTATTTTTAAAAGGTACATGTATATAAAGACACACATGTGCATTCAGAAGTACGTATGCACACATATAAATACAGAGGACAAAGTCTGCAAGAATATCCTCCAAACTCTTCACAAAGGGAACTGCTTGAGGTTAGCGTGGAAAGGGGAAGAAGGACTTTAATTTCTTGTTTTATACTATATTTATAGTTAAAAGAAAGAAAAATGTTGGTTTTGGGTTTTTTCTAATCAGCTAAAACTTCATCTGTAACCATTAAGGAATAAAGACAGCTTTGTGCACACAGCTTGGTCCGTGTGTATGTGAATTCTCACTCTCACTCCCAGACACGAAGCACTGCCTGAAGGGAGGTCAGGGTGGTTATCAAGGGACATGAGGGCAATCCGGTGCTCCGAGTTCCTCAGAACAAAAATGCTGTCACAGAACACGAGATAAAAAGTTCAGTCACATTACTGTAACATTCATAATATCCTCTCACGTTTCTAGTACTTCAGAACTTATAAAGCACTCTCTCAAATGTTATTTCATTTGACCCTGGGAGGTGGGAAAGATAACTAATTCACTGAGACTAGAGATGTTGTATCACCAGAGCCTAAAGTGCTTCCTCTGGCTCCGATTCTAGCTTAGTAAAGCAGAAATAGCATCAGAAATGGATGCTGATTCCCTGTACTCCCCTTAATGCATCCGACCCTCCAGATATAAACGAAGAGCAGTTTCCCCTGTAACAGTCCACTTGCCTTCCTCTGGGCTCGTTCATCTTATTCCCCTCCATCTGCAGCAACCTTCTCCACCGTGCTCTCCATATCCATCACTCAAGCTCCGACTCAAATGCTTTCTTCCCCCTACGTCTGCTTTCGTTTTTTTTATCTTCTCCCGTCCCCTGCCAGAGGCAGCCTCTGCCTTATCCAAAATCTGCTTCTCTCTTCACATCTTCTAACTCACGTTGCAGCTGTTTTGCAGTACACACTATTATTTGTGGGAAACTGTGCTGCTGAAATGCAGGCACAAAGGTGAGAAAGGCAGCTCCTCACCCTCAAGGGGTTCCCAGAAAAGTGAGTGGGAAACACAAGTCAATTGTTGCAGGAGCGAGAATGAGAAAGAATGAAGGAGGCCAGGGAACCTGCAGGTAAGGCATTCTGAAGTTGGGTGGACTATTCAAACCTCAGCCCTTCCACTTACCAGCCTCAGTTTTCTCTTTTATAAAATGGAGGTAACTGTAGCACCTACCTCAGAGTGCAAGGGGAGAACTAATGAGATTGTGTATGTAAATGCCTTTAAAGAATTTTTTTTAGTAAATTTTTTTAAAAAGGGGGACATGACCACGCATCCTTGCCCTGTGTTTCCCTAAGATGGGAAGCAAGACCATGACTCAAAAATCAGCTGAGTGGTTCAGCAATGAAGATGACTTCTAGGGCTTATGGATAGTCTGCAACAGTGTTTATGCAGTGTTGCTAACGACAATAGCTAACACTTCATGAGCACCAGTATCAGACACCATAATGGATTCCTGGATAATGCTTTGTGCATTACCTCATTTAAGCCTCACAATCCCCCTGGCCAGAGAGGACATTGGAAAAAGAGGGTAAATAACACATCCAGCTCACATAGCCCATCAATGGGAGACTGGGGCTTAACCTCTGGGTGCCTGACTCTAAGCCTGTGCTCCTAACCCAACACTGCTGGGTCTGGCAGGGTTTACCATCAGAGCAGCACATCATCTGCCGGTGAAAGAAGGGAGAACATGAGATCCGTGAAGCCAAGGATTTTAGCCTATTTTGTGCCTGGCATGTAATAGGTACCCAATGAATATATGCGAACTAAATCAATGAAGCCAATTCAAATGGTATCTTAATTTTAAATAAGCATCAGAAACGAGATGTTTGTTACATTATCATGAATAGAGTTTTTCTTTTACTTTATCTTCATGTTTACTAGTATAAACAATTCTGACCTGGCCAGTGTCGCTCAGTGGTTGAGCATCAACCCACGCACCAAGAGGTCGCCAGTTCAATTCCCAGTCAGGGCACATGCCCAGGATGTGGGCCCAATCCCTAGTGGGGGGCATGTAGGAGGTGGCCAATCAATGTTCTCTCTCATAGATGTTTCTATCTCTCTCCCTCTCCCTTTCCCTCTCTCTCTAAAAAAGAAAAAAAAATTCTGTTCTTCAGGGGGCCAGGTTAAGATGACACACAGATGTGTACTGGAAAGGACTCAGGACTGAGACCCAGTTCTGTCACTGATCAGCTAGATGTCCTTGACCTACACGCTTTGCCTTTCTGGGCTCGTTTCTTCACCTAAAAAAATGAAGGGGTTGGAGTAGATACGTGTTGTTCCAATGCCAGTCATGTTCACTCAAGGGTTTGCTAAAAACACTAATTTCTGAACCCTTCTCTAGATCAACTAAATTAGTAAACTGTACAGTATTTTTAACACAGTCTCCAAATAATTCTCATGTGCAGCTGAACTAGATATTGCTAAAGTTCTTTCCAGTGCTAAAAGGATAAGGGTCTGGGAGATCACAAATATATCTGCCACACAGACCATTTAAAATCATTCCTGTAATAATTTCAAATTAAAATAAACATGCCCGTAAGTACTTCCACCTTAGGCCAAATAACATCTATTCTCAAAAGTCAAGTTATGATTAGTACAGCCTTTCTCTACTGCCCTATCATTTCTGCTCTACAAAACATAAAGACCACTCAGGGATCACAAAGTACTAACAATACATCAGAGGCTCTCTGTGTTAACCATCTTACCCAGATCACAGGTCCATCTCCAGATCTTGCCTGCTGTTTCCAGATAGGTATCTACAAAAACAATAAATCCCATAAGCCATGGTTTCAGTGAAACCACTACTAAATTCTTCAAAGCAATACATATATGAAGAATAAAATATTTCTAAGCAACCAACAATCAAGGTGAAAGAATGAATGGGTAAGAAATCTAAACACTTCTAAGTGTCCTTAAAAATAGAAAAGCAGCCCTGGCCAGTTTGGCTCAGCGGTTAGAGCGTCGGCCTGCGGTCCAGGGGGTTCCCGGCTGGATTCCAGCCAAGGGCACATACTTCCATTGCAGTTCATCCCCAGCCCCAGTTGGGGTCGTGCAGGTGGCAACCAACTGATGTGTCTCTCTCACATCAATGTTTCTCTCTCTCTCTCTCTCTCTCTCTCTTCTTCTCCTACTCTGTCTGAAGATAGGTGTAAAAATATCCTCGGGTGAGGATTAAAAAAAAAAATGAAAAAGTGCCCTGTTCGGTTTGGCTCAGCAGTTAGAGCACTGGCCCCTGGACCAAAGAGTCATGGGTTTGATTCCCGTCAAGGGCACGTACCTCAGTTGCAGTTTGATCCCCGGCCCTAGTTGGGGTGGTGCAGGAAGCAACCAGTCGATGTGTCTCTCTCACATTAATGTTTCTCTCTCTCCCTCCCCCATCTTAAAATCAATGGAAATATCCTCAAGTGGGGATTTAAAAAAAATAAAAAAGCAAAAATTACTTATATGATGGTCTTTGGAGAGGATAAAGAGACCCAAACTAATCGAAGGCCTAGCAGGTTCAAGTCTTGCTTTCCCACTTAATTATTCATGAAACCTCCCTGAGTCTCCATTTCCTCATCTATAAAATGGAGACAGCTGTCTGAAACTTGCCTATTTCACAGGGTTCCCATTAGGATCAAATGAGGTGATCCTTGCAAGCATGCTTTACAAAATATGAAAGGCTTACTTTTTTTAATACTTCATATTTGTTGACTGTAGTTCTATTTAAACTCCTAAAGAAAAGGGATGTAATCTGTGTGAACATACCATCACATATTTCCCTATCTATGAGTGAGGGACTAAGCTCTCCTAACTCAACCATACCTTGAAAGGAAAAAAAAATATCATCCAAAAACAAACTTTAAAATGTTGCTGTATTTTATAAAGCACATTTTAAAATAGTATTAAACCCACTCTACATTTAGCTTCTAATATCCTAACTTTCTTGTTTCCTTTCTGCAGTCACTCACCAACTTACCATTTTCCTCTCATTAGATATGAAGACAGCGTAACATTCTTCTAATGGATACTGGTCGTGATTTTTGATGTATTCACAGAGCTTCCAAATATTTTCTTCACTGAAATAAAATAACTGTTTAATCAGTATAATTAAGCAAGAACACTGTGTTTTTCAAATCTGAACAAAAGACTGATGATGACATAAAACAGTTGGAAGAGACCTTAAACACCATCTCATCAAACAAGTTGCTAACATTTGAACTTCCTCTAAACAACCCCAACAAGCTGTTATCCAGTCTATACTGTGTGTAGACCCCTCTGCAGACACAGAGCTCATTACCTCCCCCAGCAGTGCTTGTATATAGAGGCATTTTATAACTGATAATGCTATGTCAATATTCTACAAGCCCTGGCCGAGTAGCTCAGTTGGTTAGAGCGTTGTCCCAGTACACCAAGATTGTGAGTTCAATCTCCAGTCTGGGCACACACAAGAAGTAACCAATGAATGCATAAACAAGTGGAACAAAAAGTCATTGTTTCTCTCACACTCTCTCCCTTCCTCTCTAAAAATAAAAACAAATAAAAAATAAATAAAATAAAAAAAGTCGCCCTGGCTGGTTTGGCTCAGCAGTTAGAGTATCGGCCTGCGGTCCAGAGATACCCGGGTTCGGTTCCCCCTAAGGGCACATACCTTGGTTGCAGTTTGTCTCCGGCCCTGGTTGGGTTGTGTAGGAGGCAGCCACTCGATAGGTCCCTTTTGCATCAATGTTTCTCTCTCTCTCTCTCTCTCTCTCTCTCTCTCTCTCTGTCCTTCCCACTCTATCTGAACAAAAAATGGAAAAATGTCCTCGAATGAGGATTAAAAAAAAAAAAAATCCAATAGTGTATAAGCTTGGGGTTCAAGGATTTGAAATACAGCTGGAAATCCAACTCAGCCATTTAAAAAGTAAGAAGCTTTGAACATCCTCACCTCTCTGAGTGTCTGCCTTCCTCATCTGTAAAACGGATATAATCACATTATAAATACTCAATACATCTTGTAACACTGGCTTCCTGCTCCCCTAAGGAATGGGACAGGGTGGGTATGTGGGGTAGGGGGATCCTGAGTGGAAAGGACAGTTATGTGATATATCCAGGAATTCTTTTGGAGGAAGGCCCTGTGAATATGGCTCCCCAAGTCCTTCTGGTACTGAAGAAGTCCTGACTTTCAGAAAGTTCTTTCTCATACTGAATTGAAATCCATCTTTCTATACCTCCACCCCAGATAAATCTCCCTTCTATATGAGAGGCCTTTAGCTATTTGAAGCAGTGATCAGAACTGCTAAGTACAGCAATGCCTCGTACATCAAACCAAGCCACACGGGTGGTCACAGTCACACTCCCGCACAGACAAGCACAGTCACTACTGGCAGAACTCACAGCTCAGCCCCTGGGTTTCTTTTTCTCGTGAGCCACACAGTATCTTTGCTGAAAATGAGCTACACCAACACTCTGCTCACACACGTGACTCAATCTGTCAAAGCCTAATTTCCAGCCACCTACGCCACGCTACCCGAATATGAAGCAAGGCACAAATGGCACTGAGGGCTGTCACCATTTTATGGGAATAAACACTTTCAATTCACAAGTCTTGCCCTTATCTACCTGCCTCAATGTTCCATATGACTAGGCTTAAAGCACCAAGTTGAGCTTCTGTATTTTTCTCCCATGATTTTGTTTTTCTCTTAATACCTAAGCAACCTATGGAAAAAGTAGTGGTAGAGGTAACAACAGGAGATTGCTACTAACTACTTCCACAGGATATGTACTATGAAGCAACAAAAATGTACTGTTTCAATAGGACATATAACGTGTAGTATCTAACATTTCTTAAACCTGGATGTTCTAAGACCAAGTTTTGAGAAGACATCTGTCTGTCTTGCCTATAGACAATTTGGAAAGTTGACCACAAATATCTTCAAGAGCCTATGACGTACAAAACACTATGCTAAGCACTTGGAAGATATGATAAATCAGAGTTTATAGACAATGAAAGCAGACATACAGATCCATAAATAAATAAGCGTCCAACGCCATAAAAGGTGCATAAAGAAAGCACAAAAGAGGAAATTACTAGTTTTAAGGGATAAAGGAAGATGAAGAAGGGGCAGGTCAGTTATTTATTCTCGTTTGCTCCCCTTCACCTCATCCCAAGGATGGGCATAGAATTAATGCAAACATCTCATGAATCTGTATGTACCATGAGCACTATTGGTAGGCTGAATACACATGTGGCTTGGACATATTTAGCCTATATTTTTCAAATATGTATGAATGTTAAACAGAAAAACAAATTTAAACATAAGAGATACAGAATTTGTAGTCCCTGTCTATGTCCTTTTTCTTTCAAGAGTACAATTAATATCATGAGAGGCTCTCATGAAACTTTTGATGTTAATAAAACATAGGGCCTTTTTTACTTGGAAACACTGGAACAGAATGAGCACCGGATCTGATATGAGTCTTGGCACCCATTTAACTGGTTTAGAAAAAGTGGAGAACGATGATAATTTCTCAACCTGTCAGTTGATTATTTTGGCAGCAGAAAAGCTAACAAAGCAACATTGAGGCCAATATTCTGCAAGGATTACTGGTGATGGGCTTAGTCAGAGAAGTATGCAGAAAGGAAAAATGGTCTACAAACCAAACAGTGCCACACAAATACTGGCCACTACTGTTATCATTAAGCTGGGTCTTAAAAGATAAGTAAAATCTGACAGAAGCTAACAGAAGTACAGGTGGAATTTATTTCAAGTTAGAAAAGCAAAGACAGTGAGGTGTTCCCACCCGATGTGTTCAGACAGGGTAAAGCACTGGTTCTCAATCAGAGACAACTGGCTCCCCAGGGGACATTTGGCAATGTCTAGAGACATTTTTGGTGGTCACAAACTGGGAGAGGATACTACAGGATTCTAATGAGTATAGGGCAGGGATGCTGCTACACATCCTACATTACACAGGACAGCAGCCACAGAATGAACATGCTCAAGATATCTATCAATGGACCCAAGATTGAGAAACCCTACAGCAGAGCAGAGAAGGCAGGTTCAAAATGAGGTTGGAGGAACAGCCAGTGACCAGATCTTCGAGGGCCTGCTATGCTCAGGAGGTAGACTTTATTGTCTATGCCCGTTTTCCTTGAATTGTGATCAGATTGGACTGATTCCTCTACTGTGCTGCTCATACATCCAAACTCTGGGGTGGGACCTTAAGAGCTCCATGTTTTACAAGCCCCAGGTGATTTTCCAGCATATTCAAATTCAGAATGGCCTTGAGCAGTGTGAAACCAACTAAAGTTAAAGACCTGATAGGATAGGGAATATCTGGGCAGAGAGGCCAGTTAGGAACAGGCCCCCAACAGTTAGCTAAGGAGGGTCTGGCCTATGGCTGAAGGAAAGAAAAGATAATCTGTTGAAGAGACGTTCATCTCCTACCATTATTTCACCAAAATGCTCCACTCCAACTGTTCCAGCCTTCTTGTCATTCCTAGAATAATCATGTCATACTTCCTTCTCAGAGCCTTTGCCCCTGCCTGGAATGATGATGTCCCACCAACATCCATGAAGCCCCCGCCCTCTTTTCCTTCAGATGTCTGTTCAAATACCACTTTACCAACAATATGTTCTTTAAGAATCCAATGAATGGGTCTTAGAGACAAGAACTAATAGGACTTAGGTGAGAAGCAGGGCAGGAACAAAGTGCAGTAGTTAAGCATGGACTCCAGCACTACAGAGCTTCCAGTTTCAGGACTACCACTTGCTAGATATGTCTTCTTGGGCAAACAACAGGCTTGGAGTGGAGCAATTTGGTGGAAGAATGGTAGGAGATGAACATGTCTCTTAAATAGATTATTTTACTTCCTTCAGCCATAGGCCAGATCCTCCATGGCTAACTGTTGGGGCCTGTTCCTAACAGGCCTCTCTGCCCAGCTGTGGCTCATCATTTTCATTTAAAAACTTAGGAAAATAATAATAAATAGATCTATGTTCTAGGCATGGATGAAAGAATGTGGCTCTCGGCCTGACATGCAGTCAGAGCTGAACAAATTGTTAATATCTTAGCGGCACTGGTTTGGTGACCAGCTGAAGGAGGGAAAGGTAGTTTTAGATGGCACTAAGGTTTCACAATTGTGCAGGGGCTGAAACCGGGAAGAAGGGAAGGACAGGTGGGGGAGTAAAAAGGACCAAGGTAGGAGTGGTGATTCAGCCACAGAGGTGGCCTGGGACAGGGGCACAATGTGTGGAGTCCAGAGCCAAACTACGTATAAATCTCCATTCCTTCACTCACAAGCTATGCGGCCTTGGACAAGTTACTTTGGTGTTCTCATCTTTAAAATGGGGATTACACTGGTACCTACTTCCCAGAGTAATTGTGGGACTTTAATGAATTCATACATAAACCACTCAGCACAATGCTCGGCATACAGCAAGTGCTATGTAAGTATAACGATTATTATAATGACAACATGATGGTTAAGATCATGGTTTTTGGTACACGAGGGTCTAAACTGGATAACGGACTGCTATTAACTGGATGACCCTGGGAGTTATTGCGAAATCTCTGTGCCTGCATTATCTTCCAAAATTAAAACGACCTTCACATCAGTGTGCAACCACACAGGTTTCAGCAGAGTAATTTCCAAAAGGGTCTCTGCGTTGCACCCTCCGCCTCCAATTGCCCTTCTGACCCACCCCAGGCACTGAAATCTGCTGAGAAATGTCCAAACGAAAAGCGCCGAGCAGAAATAATGCGCCGCCTACCCTCCCATTCCCGGTGAAATCTGCCCTGCCCCACCCCCATCCAAATGACCACGTTCTGCTCTGGAGACGAGGGCTATCACTCCCGCTCCCTCCTCCCGCCAAACCAGAAAACCCGCCAGTCGGGACCCAGAGCACCCCGGGACGGGGCCGGGAGGGGCGGGGCCTTGCTGCGACAACGCGGCAGGGCGAGCTTGGGAGATGCTGGGGGCTGCGCCCGCGCCCCCTCACCAGTAGCAGCTGTTGTAGACACAGGCGTCCCGCGGGGGGCTGGCCGGATGGTACTGGGCCGCTGCGGCAGCGGAGACATTCCTCTCCATGGTGGCTCGGACCAGGGCACGGGCCTGAGGCGGACCAACAGGACCAGCCCCGCGGGTGGGCTTCAAGGAAGGAACGGGCGAAAGCAGTCCGCTCTCCGAGCAGAGTAGGCGGAGCCTGGGGCTGCTGTGCAGTTCCCGAGCGGTGGAGCCTGGGATGGGTAGGCGGAGCCCGGGATGGGTAGGCGGAGCCTGGGCGGAGCGGGCCGTGCAGTTTCCCCGCGCCCGTCCTGGGGGGGCGGGTCAAGTTGCGGTGGGTGGAGCTAAGGGCTGGTGGGGCGGGCCCAAGGTTGCTCTGTGGGCGGGACGCATGCAGCACATTTTCGCGAGGGTGGAGCCAGGGCAAAGTGGGCGGATTCGGGCTGGGTGAGTGGCGTAAGTTCCCAGGGAGGAAGACGGCGCGATTCCTGGTTGAAGGAGACTGGCCCGGTGGGAGGAGCCAGGAACAGGGCTGGCCGCGCGGGTTCCGGGTGGGGCGGGGCCAGGAGTTCTGGGGCGTGGATAACGGCGGGGATCTGGTGAGCTGTGGGAGGAGAGGTCACCGGCCCGCGACCTGGAGAGGAGTCTGGGGAGGACTTGGACCTGGTAAGCTGCTAGGCCCTGGACGGCGCTTCGTGACTCTCGGTATGGAGTCTAAGGCCCTTCTTCCAGCCTGGGGCCGGGTTGCCAGCTGTGGAGGAGCCACATGAGACGCGAACGCTCGATGTGTGCGAGTAAAATAAGAGAAACTTGTGTGTGAAAAATGAAACTTTAGCACTTTGAGCCTGGAGTCCGCGGGAGCCCGGGGAAAAGGGGGACGGTGGGGGGTGGTTAATTCCAAATATGTCTGCATCAAGGACGGTTTTAGACGGGGTTATCACCCTAATATCTCACCGTATTGTAACTTTTTTTAAAAAAATAAAGAATTGTAGTATATATTGATTCAGAAAGCTATATGGATGCCTGATATAGTAAGTAAAAAAAGTTTTAAGAGTCTGCATGTTACCCTTTTTGTGTTAATCATATATTTATTATTTATTGGTAGTCTGGAAGGAAAGACGCCAAATTGTTAAAACAGTGTTTATCTTTGGTGAAGGAATGATGGAGGATTTTCACTTTATACCTGTAGCCCTCTGAATTGTCTGTATTTGCAATGAACATATAGAGCTGACCAGAGTACTTCCCATTATAAAAACAAATTATTGGTTTATAGGCCATCAACAGTAAGATTTTCCAAATCTCATGAGTTCTAAAAGCCCATAAATACTAAAGACTTTGAGCATAAGTTTTTGCATCGGTTATCAATTTTATTGCCTCTCAGCTCTGAATACGCAGTTCAATATAGACTGTGATAAATAACGGAATTCCTCTAAGCATTTCTCTTAAAGTGAGCATGACGTTAAGCCTTCTCATTAAAGTGTGCTACAGGAAGAAGATTCCTGCTGTTTCTGGAATAGTACAAAAGTTTGGAATGTGGTCTATTGTAATAACTATGTATAGTGCCAGGTGGGTACTGGAAATAGAGGGAACATTTTATAAAGTATATACATGATTGTCTAGTCACTATGCTGTACACCTGAAACTAATACAAAATGTCGAATATAAACTGTAATTGAAAAATAAAATGTAAAGTTCTTAAAAAAAACTAAAATTCACTTTTCCAGGAAAAAAATCACTTAAAAAAAAGTCTGGGATCTGTGGTCACGAGATCATCCAGTGGGGTCTGCCCAGCCACAGGCCCAGAATTGGTCCTTCCTCAACCTTGCAGCTTTAGCTTGGCAATAACCTTTTGCAGCCCTCTTGACACAGAAACCAGAGTCCAGGAAGGCCTGCAGGCAGCAGCCTGCCTATATATACCCCTTCAGCAAGCCCTTCACGGCCTGCACACAGTTAGTTACCTGTGGCTGGCAGATCACACAATGAGCAGTCTGTCCTTCACCTAGCTTTCCCTTCTTCCCTCACCCCAACCCCTCTATTCTCCTCAAAGCATTCTGAAGGCCTTCTGCTCCTATTGGCTCCCAGACTCCCAAAGCATCCCCACTCCGCTGGTTGGTGATCTCCCCCTCTAACCATTTCTCTACCTTGCTTAAAAGAAGTTGAATGCCAAGAATTAACTGTGTTAAAGAGTAACTATAAGATATAAGGAAAGTCTACATGATACCTAGGGCTGAGGAAGAGTATTCAAGAAGGACAAATTTTCATCAAACAACAAGTGTTGGTGAGGGTGTGGAGAAAAGGGGACTCTAGTTCACTTCTGGTGGGAATGCAGACTGGTGCAGCCACTGTGGAAAACACTATGGTGTTACCTCAAACAGTTAAAAATTGAACTGCCATTTGACCCAGTGATCCCACTTCTAGGAGTATACCCTAAGAAACCTGAAACACCAATCAGAAAGAATGTATGTACCCCTATGTTCATAGCAGCACTATTTACAATAGCTAAGATCTGGAAACAACCCAAGTGTCCATCAGAAAATGAGTGGATTAAAAAGCTGTGGTACATGTATGCAACAGAATACTATGCAGCTGTGAAAAAGAAAGATCTCTTATCCTTTGAGATAGCATGGAAGGACCTGGAGAGTATTATGCTAAGTGAAACAAGCCAAGCAGAGAAAGACAAATATCACATGATCTCACTTATTTGTAGAATATAATGAACTAAACAAACTGCTGAACAAAATTAACCCAGAGACATAGAGGTGGGGTACAAATTGATAAGCCTCAGAGGAGGGGGGGGGTTGTGGGGGAAAAGATAAACCACAGAACTTACATGCATGTATGCATGACCAATGAACATAGACAACAAAGCTGGGGATGGGGTGGGGGGAACGGGAGGAGGGTGTCAATGGGGGAAAAATGAGAAACATCTGTAACAAAAACAAATTAATAAATAAAAATTTTTTAAAAAAGAAGGACAAATTTGCCCTGGCCAATTTGGCTCAGCAGTTAGAGTGTCGACCTGCAAACCGAAGGGTCTTGGGTTTGATTCCCAGTCAAGTTCATGTACCTGGGATACAGATTCGATTCCCAGCTCTGGTAGGGGTTGTGTGGGAGGCAACCAGTTGATGTGCATCAAAGTTTCTCCCTCTCTCCCTTCCTCCCTTCCACTCTATCTAGAAAGAATCAATGGGAAAATATCCTTGGGTGAGGATTAACAACAACAAAAAGACAAATTTGAAAGGGGTTTGGACCTCATGAGAGATGGTGTGGTAACCATACCAGATAATAGAGAAGTTTACTCAGACTGGAAATGGTCTGGAGTTGCTGGACAAACAATAGAGAAGGGGTAGAGGAAAGCCAGTAGTCTCTGCCATAATGAGCTTTCTTTATGCTTTGAACTTGATCTTATAAGAAGGAATTACTTTTACAATTGAAAAAGACTAGATCAGATACATATGATTTCATAGTAGAGACTATAAAAAGAGATATGGTCTCAGAGGAGTAGATGTTTAGAACCAGACCTACTAACGCCAATGATCTGGATAAGGAAGAAATCAGAGATATGCTCAAAGAAGTCAATACCCAATGAAATCAAGATGTTAAATAAAGGGCAGGGGTTTGGAGAAGGGTCACTTAAAAGAAAGTATGAAAAAAGGGCCACAGATGTGAAAGGGGAGATTCAAGAAGTCTAGCACATAACACACTGAGGTTTAATAACAAAAGGAAGTTTTATTTTTTGTTGAGATGGGTGGTGTTTTTAATGCTCAATATTAAGAGATAGGAGGGAAAAAAAAGATAATTCTATTGCTTGGGACCATACAATATTATGTGATAACACAACAGAAAGAAAACTGAAATAGCCAACAACTATTTTATTCTACCAAAAATGATCCTCAAGCTGTAAAGGATAAGGAAAATAGCAGTAAGAGGAAATTAAAGTCAAGATAAATTCAGTGGTAGAAAGCACCAAGTTGCCTTAAATAGGTTAAAAACATTCAGACCCAAATGGGTTATATCCCAGGATACTAAAAGTCCCTTAGGTTATAACCCCAAAGCCTTTCTTTTTTTTTTTTTTTATCCTCACCCGAGGACATTTTTCCATTTTTTGTTCAGATAGAGTGGGAGGGAGAGAGAGGAAGAGAGAGAGAGAAACATCGACATGAAAGGGACACAGCGAGTGGCTGCTACCCACATGACCGACCAGGGCCGGGGACAAACTGCAACCGAGGTACGTGCCCTTAGCGGGAACCAAACCTGAATCTCTCAGGACCGCAGGCCTAGGCTCCAACCGCTGAGCCAAACCGGCCAGAGCCCCAAAGCCTTTCTTATGGATCTTAGAAAATATGCTGGAGGAGATGACATAAGACTAAATATAAATACTTAACTGTATTGAGTTTCATAAAAGGAAGAAATATGTTTCAGACTATACCCTGGTGAACTAGATGACTATTCCCAGGATGGTTGTGACCATGAAGAAAGGTGATTATTTAGGGGCCGTTAGTGGTTTAACAAAGCCCATTTCGTGCCAAGTGGAACTCATTTCAAGAATTAATTGATTATTGGATTATAGTACAAACAATATAATTTGAGTCCAACAAAACAGCTGGCCTAATTTTATTAGCCATGGCTCTTTACTCGTTTAGGTACAAATCAAGGCAGAAAGACTGTTTATTAGATCATTTAACAGAAAGGACACTGAAGTGGCTCTCACAAAGGGTGAGCTGCAGAAACCAGGGTCTCCAGGAACCAGAAGCAGAACTCACCTCTTAGGCCTCCTTTCTTCCTGAGCCAGTCTGCTCCTCCATGCTTGGCTTCACTTTTTTTGTGTGTGTGTATGTTAATCCTCACCCAAGGATATGTTTCCATTGATTTTCTAGAGTGAGAGGAAGGAAAAGAGAAAGAGAGAGAGAGAGAGAGAAACATCAATGCGAGAGAGACACCTTGACTGGCTGCCTACTCAACGACCCCAACCGGAGCCAGGGAATCAAACCTGCAACCCAGGCACATGCCCTTGACCAGAATCGAACCCACAACCCTGGGTCTACCAGCCGACGCTCTAACCGCTGAGCCAAACCAGCCAGGACAGGTGGCTTCAATTTTTGCTGTAGAGAGGATGGC